TATGGATTCGCTTGTTTATCATAATCCAGAGGCTTTTCTTTTCCGAATTGACATGTCAACTAAAGTACTCAGATTGGTGGTGTATTAAATTGCATGTCTATGTTTGGTAGATAGAATCGTACAGTTGATGGGTTGTCTTCGATTTCTCACTCTCATATTTTGCTGTGAAGCCCCGCGCCTGAAAAGGGACAGGTCGCTAACAAAGCTTGCGCCGACTTCCGGGAGCTTGCGCCTCCCCTCGCAGGTGTTATTTTGGAGTCGTCTCCACGAGACACTACAATGGCCAAGGTCCTGGCGTCCGGGTGCTGTGCTGCGTTGAGTGTGTAATGAGGGGACGTCACTACTGACTGCGAAGTGAGGGTAGTAGTTTAGTAATGAAGTCACTATTGGATTTGGCATCGAGGTGGCCGTTGTGAACACGGTACGCCGTCGGTTACGAACACTGGCTCAAGGCAACAGCTAGTGAAGGTGGAAATATATATCAAGGTCAATTCGGAAAATTCACCCAATTACCAACTTGTATACTCGTGTAAAGGTTTCAGACCTGGTCCGCGGCAAATAGACCATCTCTACAAGCGGTCGACCATGGGAAAGCTTGCCCATGGAGCCATCAACACAACCGCCTCCGAAATGAACATTCACCGATCCACTGTGGCGCGCGTCTGGAAGGACTTCCATCGCGACGCCTTGATGCCTTCACGCAAGGTAGGCCGTGTCGGTCGCACGCCCATCTACACGCCCGGTGTCGTTGTAGCCATGGTCCGCGAGTTGCCTCAGTCACTGCGCACCACCATGCGAGAAATCTCCGAAGCTAAGGGCATTCCGCTGTCGACTCTCCACCGGCACCTAAAGGCTGGAACACTTCGCCGCCGCTCGACAAGGATGAAGCCAATGCTCAGCGACGACAACAGGGCGCAGTGCCTTGCATGTTGCGACGACGCTGTCTTTGACGACATGTGGGATATTCGTACACCTAGACGAAAAGTGGTTCAATGCTGACACAAATGTGCGCAATGTTTACCTCACGGAGGGTGAAGATCCATAGCAACGTCCCTGGTCATGCTCCTGGCCGCCGTCGCGCGTCCCCGATATGACACCGAGCGTGGAACCTACTTCGACGGAAAGATTGGCATGTGGCCAATTGTTGAGTATCGACCAGCCCAACGCAACTCCCGCAATCGGTCGGCTGGAACTATCGTCGCAACGTTGGTCAACGTTGACGCTACGGTGTAATGCAACTATGTCGTGACACAAGTCATTCCCGCTATCAAGGCAAAATTTCCTATCTCGAACAAGCGCATTGTGCTCCAGCACGACAATGCAACTCCACGCGGCGGCGTCACCAACGAAGACCTTGTGAGCTCATCAACGGACGGGTGGACCTTTGTTGTTTGCAGCCAGCCGCCAAACAATCCAGACCTGAACGTTTTGGATCTTGGGTCTTGCATCACTCCAAACCATGCAGCACAAGTTGGTGAGTCGTTCGTTGGATGATGTCATTCATGCAACACTTACTGCGTTTGAGCTCAGCGGTGGCGAGACACTCGGAAATGTGTTTCTTACCTTGCAGGCCGTGATGCGCCTTGTTCTGGAGAACAATGGCGGCAACTTCTTCCGCTTGCCGGATTTGCGTAAGGATGCGTTGCGTCGTGCCGGTGCACTCATGTCCAACGTTTCCTGTCTTGTTGCGCTCTTGGCCTGAGAGACGACTCCGGTTTTTAACCAATAACATGCTTGTGTTTTCTTTTCTACCAATCGGACTGAAATGTCGCAAGTAACTTGGAAATAGTCAGATTTGCAAATGTCGGCAGTATATCCGAACAGAGGAAGTACTACCTCTGTTCCATATTAGTGCCGACATTTGACTTTACGGTGAACCCAAAAACTGAATTTTCGGTCAAAATTGACGAAACAAAGCCCCAAT